ATTGAGGGAGGTTCAATTTCTTGGACATGTTGTTGGGGCTAATGGTACCAAGGTGGATCCAACCAAGATTAAGGCCATAAAATGTGGTCTAATCCGAAGAATCCTTTATAGATTTAGGGCTTTTTGGATTTTGTTGGATACTATAGGAGATTTATCAAATATTTCTTAATGATTTCTTGTCCATTGACCAAGTTGACAAGAAAGGCGGAGCCTTTTGTCTGGACTGATGATCACGAGCAAGCATTCCAGATTTTAAAGAACCTTTTGTGTGATGCACCTATCCTATCCCTGCCTGAGGGAAATAAGGATTTTTTGGAATACAATGATGCATCGTATTCTAGTTTAGGGTGTGTGTTGATGCAGAGAGGGAAGATGATTTCTTACGTATCTTAACAGGTGAAAGGCGCATAAGTGAATTACTCGGTACATGAATTTGAGGTAGTTGTAATTGTGTTTGCACTCAAGTTATGGCGTCGTTATTTGCATGGGATGAAGTACACACTATACACCGATCATAATAGCTTGCAACACATCCAAAATCAAAAGGAGTTAAATATGAGGTAGCGACGTGGAGTTAAGTTGCTTGTCGATTATGATTGAGATTAGTTACCACTATAAGAAAGAAAATATGGTAGCTAATGCTATGAGTCTTAAGGGGCCTAGGGTGTCATATCATCTAAAGTTTTTGGGATTGGTAGTGGTTCTTGGTATATTTGAGAAGATTTAGACTACTCAGACCGAGGGCTTGAAAGAAGACATTGTGAAGGATGAGGTGACGGTGAAGCATCATGTTCATTTGGTAGAGGATAGTTGGAGACTTAAGACATTTAAAGGGGGACTTTTGGTCCCTAAGGTTGGTGGTGTTCGTGACATACTGTTGCGAGACACATATTGACAGAAGGTCAGAAAAAGCAAATTTGTAACCGCCAGTCAACATAGCGCGACGAACCCATATGCATTTCACATCTTTTTCCTTTTCCCTTAATTTGAGGAAATAAACAACATGCATTGTATTTTCTATTTCCTATATAAAAATTTATTTATTTCTATTATTTACGTTCTAACCATACTATAACATACCAAAACAAACTTCTTCAAATAATTTGACATAGAAAATGTCATTTAGCATCTTACACCAATTGTTTTCCAATTTGCATTATTTTCCCAAGTTACTCCTTTTCCACTTCACTGAATCATTTATAGTAAACTCACTTTCATATTCTTGAAATATAAGTTTCAAAGGTTCCCATTACAATTTAATATTGGTCCATGAGCAACTCACAAAGCTTGTTTCATTCTCTATGCCATCAAATGCTTATGCCCCCCTTTTGTCCAACTTTATCACATAATAGCAATTTACTTGTGTTTTTAATTATTTCTGGCCTAAACACTTGTTTCATTTCATCATAACCGCGTAAGGTATATTGGAACATGTTCAAGCATTGTTCTCATTCAATATGACATTTAGAACAAATTCTAATATTAGATACAATTTCTATCGTTTTCCAATGTCACAACTTTAATTCCTTATATTTTCATAAATTTGATTCACTATTTACAAAATTTACACTTCCTTTCTATAGAAATTTAAAAGGTTTGCATTTTCCATCGTAGATTTTGTTCTTCAATAGCCTAGAAATTCCCAAGGGGAATCCACCACAGGGCATGGAGGAATGGAAACCTTGCAGTTACTGGATGGTCGTCACTAATTGTATCGGTCATTTCTATTCTTGCTTTTTGGTAATTCTATACGATTGTAGAATTGGGTGATTGAAAGTTAAAAATACAATTTGACATGCAATGAGATGAACGTAGGAGGACACATGGAGTAGATTTTGTGGAATGAGGATTAAGCATTAATTACAATCTTAGCGTTCATGGAGCTACTCTATGTAATGTTGTTGCGCGTAGGTTTGTTCTTTTTTTTTGGAACCGGCAATTTTATTAAAAGGCAACCCCTTAACAAGGAGCTAAAGGGTGCCAAAAGTTAAAAATCAACATCAAAGATTACACAAAGTAGAAAGGAGATTTAAGCCATTCCCCCCATACAAAGTTTCCTTTCCCATACCTATGCTTGATCCAAACATGGACCATTGATCTAATTCCTTCAAACACCAATTCCGGGGAAATGAATTTTGAGTTAAAGATTCTATCGTTCCTTGCTCGCCATATACCCCATAGTGCACCAGAAATGATTGAGAGTAATGTTGTCCTGCGTTTTGGGCATTGGCTAGTCATGGCAATATAAGTTAACATCTCCTTTATACTAGAAAATATCGTTGGTGTGATACCGCACCAATCCCAAATCCGGTTCCAGAGATCCACAGCAAACGGGCATTTAAGTAACATGTGATCCGTTGATTCCATTCCAGAGACACAAGCACTGCATTGTGTAGAATGGACCTGTACCCCCCTTTGATCAAGAGCAACCGCAGTTGGAATGCGGTCCATTCTTGCTCGCCATATAAAACAACTTACTTTGATTGGGATCCATTTGCTCCATTGAAATACTCCATCCGGAATCATATGGACTGCACGATTAATCTTCTCCCTTAAGGCTGCAACGCAGAACTGACCATCAATTTTAAAGTCCGATTCCCATCCAGTTCCCTCTTGATTTCTCCGGATAACATCAGAACCTGCAATATTCAATTTACCAAGTGTAATTTTACATTTATCAATATTATTCCAAACACCACTTAAATATCTGGACGCCATCTGAGATGGAAGCCACGCATCAAGATTATGGATTCCGTGTATCATTCTCGCCCATAGTGCACATCTCTCATGGAAGAATTTCCATCTCCATTTTGATAGTAGCGCTAGGTTTAGTGCTTTAATGGATCCAAGACCTAAACCACCCACCTCTTTTGGAGCCGTTATTTTCTCCCATGCCACCCACCAGATTTTTGGAGCAATGTTAGGCCCTCACCATATAAAATTCCTCCTTATTCTCTCCAAGTTTTCAATCACTCCTAAAGGGGCTGCAAAAATTGATAAATAATAAGTGGGAAGACTCCCCAAAACTGACTTTGCTAGTGTCACCCTCCCACCGAAACTCAATGTCTTCGATTTCCAACCGGAGAGTTTGTTGTTGATTTTTTGCATCACTGGCATCCAAGAGCTTTTACGGTTCATGTTGCTCCCACAGGAACACCCAGATACGTGAATGGTAATGAGCACGACTCGCATCCCAACGGTGAGGACCATCTATCGACCTCATGTGGATCCACATTAATGCCGTAGACTTTCGATTTGTTGAAGTTAACGCTCAACCCGGAGGATACTTGAAAACACTTGAGTATCCTAGCCAGGTTTTTTATGTTTTAATTTGACCATTCACCAATGAACAAGGCGTCATCGACATAGAATAGATGGGAGAGCTGGATATTGGAGTTGGGAATAGAGATTCCTTGAAAAGCTCCTTTTGACCCTGCTTCCTTTAACGCGATATTTAATCCTTCCATAGCTAAAATAAAGAGAAACGGTGATAGGGGATGTCCTTGCCTTACGCCTCTCTCTAGTTGGAATTCAGCCGTTGGACATCCATTCACTAAGACCGATGCCCTAGCTGATTCTAAGCATCCATGTATCCAGACTCTCCATTTTATTCCAAAATTCATTTGTTGCATCATCGAATCTAGGAATCTCCAGTTCACCGAGTCAAAGGCCTTATTGAAGTCAGCCTTGAAGAGTAATATTTTTTTGTTGGTAGTCTTTCCCCACGAGCAAATCTCGTTTACAATGAGAGGTCCTTCCAGGATGTTTCGTCCTTCAACAAAAGCCGTTTGCACTTCATCTATGCACTCTCCAATTACCGAACGGATTCTTGTTGCTAGTAGTTTTGCAGTTATTTTATATAAAGATCCGATTAGGCTGATTGGCCTATAGTCACCCAAGGAAAGTGGATCTTTAACCTTCGCCGCAAGTGTTATAAAAGAGGAATTGCAACCTTGTGAAAAGCTTCCCCGTTTTTCAAAGTGTTTCACATATGCTAGGATATCCGCCTTCAATTCATTCCAATATTTTTTCAGAAATTTGAATGTGAATCATCCGGTCCCGGGGCCTTATCATTCCCATAGTTCCACACTGCCCTTTTCACCTCATCTATCGAGATATCTCCTTCCAAAAATTCTTTGCTAGCGGCTGAAATGGTTTAGGGTACCTGTGACGAAAAATATAGACTTTCTGGATGTCACGCGGTAGAAGCTGTCATTAAAGGGACAAAAGTTTAATTATATATAGTAGATGTGTACGTAGGAAGGTGCTTAATAGATGATCTTAAATTATGATGGAATGTAGATAATTAATATGAATATGTTAATTAGGTTTAGCCATAGATTAATCAACTGTTAACTAGGCTTTAGTACTGTCTTGTTATAGTCCCTTGTCACGGTGTTAATTGGTTTCATAAATATCAGTGTTTCTAACGAATCTATATTCTAATCTTGATTCTTGAAAGTTACAACTAAAATATAAGTGGACTAAATTTCGACCCATGACTCGTTATCGTGATCAATGCAACCGAAACACCAAAAAATGGATTTTAAAAATGATGATTATTTGAATTTCTTTTAAAAATATTAAAGATTTTTCTGAAATTTTTTATAAATATAAAATGACTTCTTTGAAAAACAAAAATAGAGTAATGACTTTACATGCATGTAAAGGATTGAAAATGTATGAGCAGAAAAGTTCCCTTTGTAATGTGAGATCAACTCGAAATCATGTAATATAATATAAATCTTAATATTTTATGGTTTATAGTAATTATTGTACAAAACAAATAAGTAGATGAAAATCAATTTGTTTCACTATGATATGAAATCAAAACTAAAGGGTAATATTTAGATATAAAAACGGTTGTTTCGAGGCTCTCTCCCATTTCCATTATACCGGATATATCTAGAGAGAGAGAGAGAGAGAGAGAGAGAGAGAGAGAGAGAGAGAGAGAG